CAGAGACAATGCTAAAGCCTGAGTTTAAGCCCCAGGACCAACACACATAGACACAGACATCTCTACTCAACTTTTTTTTTTTCTTTTCTTTTTTTTTGCCTGTCCTGGAGCTTGAACTCAGGGACTGGGAACTATCCCTGAGCCTCTTTGTGCTGCTCAAGGCTAGCACTTTACTACCTGAGCCTCAGAATGACTTCCAGCTTTTTCTGAGTAGTTGATTAGAGATAAGAGTCTCACAGACTTTCTGCCCTGGATGGCTTCAACTGTGATCCTCAGATCTCAGCTTCTTGAGCAGTTAGGATTACAGGCATGATCCACTGACATCCAGCTTCTTCTCAACTTTTTAATGTTACAAAAAAGAAAGAGAGAGAGAGAGAGAAAGAGAGAAAGAAAGAAAGAAAGAGAGAAAGAAAGAAAGAAAGAAAGAAAGAAAGAAAGAAAGAAAGAAAGGAAGAAAGAAAGAAAGAAAGAAAGAAAGAAAAGAAAGAAAGAAAAAAAGAAAGAAAGAAAGAAAGCAACTGCCTGTCAGACACCAGGGTGGCTCATGCCTATAATCCTACTCAGGTACTCAGGAAGCCAAGATCTGAATGAGATCTGAGGATCAAGATTTGAAGTCTGAGCAGGCATCTGTGAGATAATCTATATCCAACTAACTAGCAAAAAGCCGCAAGTGGTAGAGCATCAGCCTTGAGCCAGAAAGTTAAGCAAGAACCTAAGTACCCTGACAGAGTTCAAGCCCCAATACTAGCACATACACAAACATACATACACACACACACACACACACAAACACACACACACACACACACAAAAAAGCCCTTACCTACTAACTACCTAGGACAACTCATCATAATACATGTTTTCTAAATCATACTCAATTTCAAAACTAAGAATGAGAAGTAGCTAAAATCATGGACTTAGATGTCACATTTTTACCTTCGCTTGGTCACTTATTAGCAGGGGAGTTAATATTTCTTTTTTCTTTTTTTTTTTTCTTTTTTGCCAGTCCTAGGGCTTGAACTCAGGGTCTGGGCACTGTCCCTGAGCTTCTTTTGCTTCAAGCAAAAGCACAAAGCACCACCTCCAGCTTTTCCTGTTTATGTAGACTAAGGAATTGAACCCAGGGCTTCATACATACTAGGCAAGCACCTTACCACTAAGCCACATTCCCAGCCCAGGGAGTTAAATTTCTAAATTTTGCTTTCCTTCATTGTAAAGTGAAAGTATTAAAGAAATACAAAAAAAAAAAAAAAAAAGACTTGGTAGCTTGTTTGTGTGGTAAAGGGGACTGAACTCTGCTCTCCTGCTAGGAAGTGTTCTACTGCCTAAGCCACACTCCCAGTCCTAAAAGGACTTCTAATTGTTGGTCTGGGAGCACTACCTGCCCCTAGAAGAATGCCTTGTGTTAAAAACTGTGAGGTCAGGGGCTGGGAAGGTGACTCAGTGGTAAGAGTGCTTGCTTTGCATGCCTGAGGCCCTGGGTTCGATTCCTAGCACCACATAAGCAAAAAGAAAAAAGCCGGAAGTGGCGCTGTGGCTCAAGTGGTAGAGCGCTAGCCTTGAGCTGAAGAGCTGAGGGACAGTGCCCAGGCCCAGAGTTCAGGCCCCATGACCGGACCCAAAAAAAAAAAAAAAAACTGTGAGGTCAGGAGAGGTTCCGGATCAAATAGAAAGGGTTATCATCATATTTACATTCCATTCCACTCCAATTTTACAATGAAGAAAAGTCCCCTGGCTGCTTAGAAAGCATCCCAGCCTTACATCTACCTAAAAGGGTTTGCTAGTAATGCTACAGACTCATTGATTCACAAGCAGGTGCTGCCACTGCTTCTCCTAGGATAGGTAATACTTTCAGAGGGTGTGTGCTCACCTATGCAGATATACCTCACTCCTTCCAAATTTACTAACACCAACCTAGAAATTCTGCAAATACACCAAGCCTGAAAATAAACAGGATGGTGTGACAGAATGACTGAGAAAGGCTTACTTCAGTGATGGTGTTACAAAAATGTCCCTTGTAGTTTCCTTCTGCTTCTTTCCAAAGACAAGGTGGCCAGATACTAGGAGCAGAGGAAGGAGAGTGGGAGAAAGCCCTTCTGAAACGAGGGATGTGAGAAGCACAAGGAACAACACTCATCTGAGAGGCTGAGGAAAACAGTGACCTGATGAAGGTCTCTAACTGGGACTGAAACAACAGCTGTGACTGCAGATGACATTCTGAAGAGGGAAAAGAAACAAACATAGCCTATGAGCAAGACAGTAAGGCCAAACTAAGAGGAGGTACTGTACTGTACCCTGAGAGCAATGGGAACTCTGTGTTAGGGATAATCATTCTCAGAGTGAGGCAAAAGAACTTCTGAGCAAAAGGTCTACTGATCAGTTTCTTCTAGGTTCATTGTAAGTTTACAAGGTGATTAATATCAGTGGAAAAATTGAGAAGAAACTGAGACACCTGACTCAATGACAGATCTTACTAACTAATCATAGGAGGTGGTTGTACGATTGCTGGGTATGTCCAACTTCAGATCTAACAGTGGTACCGGAAACACATCTACAGAACCATCATGGAGTACCCGCACACCCTACCATATTAATAAAGCCTGAGTGTTTTTACAAAAAGTGTCTGTACTTTTCTACAAACTCCAATGATTCCATGTTCTTACCATGTCCTCATAACTGAATTGTCACACAAGCTTGATCATAGTCTCCTCATTAGTACCTCTAACAAATTTTAACAGAAAAGTGTTAGTAAATATTAATGCATGCATTCTTTTTTTTTAGACTGTCTTGTTATACCCTAGTCACTAGGTAGCCCAAGCTGACCTCAAACTCCCAATCCTCCTGCCTTAGCCTCCCAAATGCTGAGGTTACAGGTATGTTTACTACATGCAGCAATGACATCAACTTTTCAACATGAAGCAACTTCTTCTACTTAGATGGTGCACAATTTTCACAAGCAAATTACCTTCTAAGTCTATGTTTCACAGGAACTCAACAAATTAGAAATGAAAAATGTTAAAGAATCCAAGAAAGCTGGGTGCCAGTGGCTCACGCTGATAATCTTAGCTACTCAGGAGGCTGAGATTTGAGGATCGAGATTCAAAGCCAGCCAGGGCAGGAAAGGCTGTGAGACTCCTCCAATCAACTACTCAGAAAACCGGAAGTGGTGCTGTGGCTCAAATGGTAGTAGAGCACTAGCCTTGAGCTGAAGAGCTCAGAGACAGCTCCCATGCCCAGAGTTCAAGCCCCACAACCGATAAAAGAATCCAAGAAATTTGTACCGGGTTTTGCATGTGGAGGAGCCCCACTGCTATTTTTAGATCAAGCAACAGAGCTTTCCCCAAGTAGAACTTTTTCCAAATGATACCAACAAGGTCAAGAGTCATATCCTATCTGAAAAGAAGACCTATAAAACAGCTAAGGTCTGTTGCAATGGCTTGTCTACAAGTGCTTTGACCTTAAAGCTTCTATTTACATGTTTATTTGTATACATGTATTTGTCATAAATTTTATATTTGAAAATATATGCATTTGTTTTAATATTTGTTTTCATTCTTGTTCAATCCCCTTCTTTTTGAGCTGGTCCTGGGGCTTGAACTCAGGGCCTAGGCACTGCCCCTGAGATTGTTGTTTTTTTGTGTTTGCTTTTTTTTAAATTCAAGGCTGGTGCTCTACCATTGAGCCACCGCTCCATTTCCAGCTTTTTGCTGGCTAACTAGAGATAAGACTATTAGGGACTTTCCTGCTCAGGCTGGCTTTAATAGAAATCCTCAAATCTAGCTTCATAAGTAGCTAGGATTACAGGCATGAGCCACCAGCACCCAACTTTATTCATCTTTATATACATGGCAATTTTAAATTATACTAGCATCTTCAGGAAAAGTGGGGGGGGGACTTTATCATGTACAGCACTTTGGAGTCACAGATCATTTGAGTCTCAGAGCAAGCTTATGAAATTCACAAGGAGACTACCATTCCTTTCTGTACAAGGCAACATGGGACTCACAGAGATCAAGTAACCTCACTAATTCGGGATGTCACAGGAAATTAGCAAGGGTAACTCTAGGACAAAGCCTTGGGACTCTCATTTGCTTTTCTCCCACCCCCCAGGACAGTACCACCTCAGTGTATTCGTGTGCTTCTCTTCCACAAACCTGGGCTGGAAGGGAAAGCCAAGCTATCCCAGCAAGTTATTCTCAGCCTCAAAATGCCGCGGGAACAGTAGTACACTCTTCGGTAAGGACAAACAGGGAACACCCGCTTCCGTCGGGACCCAGTCAATGCTGACTTGGCTCCACTGCACAGAACTTAACTGAGATACACCACCGTCTTGCAGTGTCGTTACCTGCACCCATCTGTCCTCCTCACTCCGTGGGCCATCCACTCACACGGAGGAAAAGCGATTCATCCCTCACGCTGGGGGTCTTAGGAATGAATGAACTGCACAGTCTCGTTTCAACCCACCCCCACCCCCACCTTCCAAGTTGCTGAACTGTCAAGACCCGGTAGGAAATAAAACACAAAAGGGGCCGGGCTGGAACCCCGCGGTTCTCCCCCAGGCCAGCCACCCCAGCAGGATGACAGCCCGGCCTCCAAGCTTCCGGGGACGGCCAGCGGGACTGCCCTTTCCCGGACGTCCCTACCTGCGGCGGATCGCCCCGTCCCCCCCGCCCCCGCCCCGCACACCTGGCAGCTCCCGCGAGGGAGGATGCGGGGTCGCCACCCGAGGGTGGCGCGGGGCCCGCGGGCGGCCAAGCAGCTTCCGCCTCGATGGGCCGGGTCGGGCCGGGCCGCGCGGGCCTCACCTCCGTCCCCGCCGGCGCGTCCCCGCGAGCGCGGCGCGCGGGCCGGGGCCTGGCGAGGCCCGAGGGGGCGGCGGCACCGCGCGTGGGGGCTGGGGGGGGAGGAGCGAGTCCAGAGGGCCGCGAGGAGGGAGGGAGGGAGGGGAGAGAGGGGAGGGCCCCGGCCGCCGCGGGGGGCCGCGGGGCGCGGGCGTCTACCTGCGAGCAGAAGTACGAGCCCTGGATGCCCAGCTTGATGCAGGTGGGACACTGGAGCTTGGCCTCCCGGCTGCAGCCGTCCGTCTCGCACACCCGCGTCTCCACGGCCGCCATGCTGCCTGCCTGCCGGAGGAGCGCCTCACCGAGGAAGAGGAGGAGGGAGGGACGGACGGGAGGGAGGGAGGGACGGAGGAACGGGCGGGCGGAGGGGTGGAGAGGGGAGGGGAGAGAAACCGAGCCGGGGGGAGGAGCCCCGGCCGCCGCGGGCTCTGGCGCGGAAGGGGCGAGGAGCGCGAGACCCGCCGGCCGCGCAGCGCGCCGCGCCCACGACACGCCCCTCGCGCTCCGCGGTGGCCACGCCCCTTCCGCAAGGCCACGCCCCCTCCTCCCGGGAGCCCCGCCCTGCAGTGTCTGCGCACATGGGGGCCGCGCGCGCGAGGGGCCCCGGGGCCTGAGCCCCAGCCCGCTGGGCAATTGCGCGACCTCGCGGATCGAGGCGATGTAGGCCCGGGATCCTGCACGACCCGCTTGCACACAGGGCAGCCGGAATGGACATGGGGCTCCTCCGCGTGCCTACAGGCCTCCGCCCCTAGGAAAGTCATTCCCTCCTCCAAGTTCTATTTCTCACTTTGCGCTGGGCCTTAATGGCCACCGCCCATTCACAAAAAAGGAGAGCCAGGGTTTCAATGGCCCGGTAAACTGGGAGTCCACGCGTCCTCTCCGGAGCCCGGTTTCTGTTTGTTTTCTTGTTTGTTTCACGCCCCACCATTCAAATCTTACCCGGCGAGGAATCGTAGGTGCCAATTAAATGCGAAATCCCCGCACAAATAGTCCTTGTGCGTTCCCATTTGACGAAGGGGCAACCAGGAGGGATGGGTGCTCACGACGAAATGTCAAGTTGGAAAACTGCAGGGCTTGTCAGATGCAAACCTGTTGCCTGAATCAACCACGTGCCGAGCTGCCATGTTTCCAACCTTCCTTAATACCTTCTGTCAGTGGAGAAGGGAGAAACAGCTATTTGTTGATCATCTAAGTACTGTGAATTTTGTTATCTGGTTATATGTTGTTTAAAACCTTTCCATCGCTACTAGTCCAGATTTTTACTGTAGGAGCCTTACATACAAGTAATAAAATCAAATAATGACAATGCATGCATATATGGAAAAAACAAAATAACAGTCACTGTACATGTGTAGGTGATATTTATATATTTAATACGTGTATATATATATATATTATACGAGTATATATGTGTATATACATGTTCAATATTTAAATATTTTAAAGCTGTACAGTATCATGCACAGTAGTTACTTGCTTTCTTTATGTTGTAAATGTCCTTTATTGTTGTTAAATAGACTATTACATAATTTTAGCAACTCCCTAATATTCTATTATGTGAATAATTTACCAAGTCAGATCTACTAGTAATAGGTATTCAGGTAGTTTTTAAAGATTTATTAGCATATATTAGCTGTATAAAGGAAGGAGTTCCTTTTGACATTTCCATACATTCATACTATAAGGTGAATTAAGGTAGGTAGGTAGCCAATAAAGAGAACACCATGCAGGATTCAGTCAGGAAGAGAAGTTTATTACCCAACTGCTGTCCTGCTGTGCTAACCTTTGTTCAAACTCATCCTTCCATCTCTCCCCCTCATACATCTTCCCCTTCTTAAAATGATTCCAACAGATTTCATATTTTCATAATGCATATAAAGTACTTACATTCACCTTCATCCACTCTCTACATACTCCGTTCTCCTGCTGGGGGTGGGGCAGGTAATAACTTAAGTCATAAAGTGCTTATCTAGCAGCACCATGGCTCTGATTTCAATACCTAGTAAAGGGGGGTGCTGGTGGCTCACACCTGTAATCCTAACTGGTCAGGAAGCTGAGATCTGACATCTGAAGATCTGAGATCTGAAACCATCCTGGGCAGGAATATCCCTGAAACGCCTATTTCCAATAAACTACTGAAAAAGCCACAAGTGGAGCTGTGGCTCAAGTGGTGGAGTATTAACATTGAGCAAAAAGAATTTCAGGGACAATGCTCTGTTCCTGAGTACAAGCCCCAGGACCAGCAAGGGATAAAAAAGTCTTTTCAAGGGGCTTGGAGTATAAATCAGTGGTAGAGCACTTGGCTAACACGTGAAGCACTGGGTGCAAGTTCTAGCACGAAAGCAAACAAATGTCCCTGTTTCTTCTTTTCCTTTTCTTTTCTTCTCTCTTCTTTCTTTCTTTTTTTCTTCTGCTTTTTGCCAGCTCGGGGGCTTCATCTCTGGGTCCCAGTGCTGTCCCTGAGCTCCTTTTGCTCAAGGCTAGTCTATCACTTGAGCCACAGCGCTACTTCCACCTTTTTCTGGTAGTTAATTGGAGATAAGTCTCACATACTTTCCTGCCAAGGCTAGCTTCAAACCATGATCCTCATATCTCAGTCTCCCCTATTTATTTTTAGTTTTTATTACAAGAGGCAGATTTCACTTCAGTTAAAAAGATGGGGAAATTTATATTATAAATATACCTAAATAAATAGTGTAAAAAAAGAAAGTATTCTGAGCTGGGTGCTGGCAGTGCATACCTGTCATCTTAGCTACTCAGGAGACTGAGCTCTGAGGATTGCAGTTCAAAGCTAACCTAGGCAGGAAAGTCCATGAGACACTTATCTCCAACACACTTCCAAAATGTTCAAAGTGGAGTTTGGCTCAAGTGGTAGACTACTTCATTGAGCAAAAAAAACCAGGGATAATTTCCAGACCCTGAGTTCAAGCCCCAGACAGTCCAGGAAGCCTCCCTCCCTCCCTCAAAAAAGAGTTCTGGACTCAAAAGAGGAAAAGTTCTTAAACTTAAGTTCTTAAACTCTTAAACTTCTGTCTACTTTTCTAAGACAACACATGTTTTATAGTACAAGTCAGTCTGAAAATTAATTGACTAAAATTTTGTGTTAAGGCAACTAACTCTGTCATCTAAAATTCAGTGGCTCAGATAAATATCCATCAAGCACTACAAGTTTAATTGGGAAGATGTGTTTCCCATCTGGTTTCCTTCCATACCATCAAGCAAATTAAAATGGCAAGTGCCATCATCTGCTATCTCTGGGAAAGAGACACCAAAGCAGTTTGAATTGATTTCTGCTGACATATTCCACAATGTACGGATATCAAGACCATTCCAAGATTGATTTCACAGACAAGGAGAGCTAAAGTAATTTTTCAAGTGGGCTTGGAGTGGCAGCATAAAATAGGCACCATTCTAGTTTTCTGTCTTAATCACTAGTGATAAATTTAAAAGATGTGGAAACCTTGAGTAATTGGCATTTTGATAAATATTATAAATTGTGGAATACTTGACAGATGCATTAACACCAAAAGATCTTTGCAAAATTGACCATGCTTCTTTCAGCTCTGGAAGTAATGGAGCATCAATAAACTAGTAGGATCTGAAAGAGAGACCTTGAATTATCTAAGAGACTAACATTTACATGTATTCTTAGGTTGTTAACAATTCTTCCAGCAAAGAGAGGCCCAGGAAAGATGCAAAAGAGGAGTACTATGCTTTCATACTTTCCCAATTAGGGCTGAAATTACACTAATGGATTGCTATGTTCACCAAATAGCCAGCAGAAAAGGTAACAACACTATATCAAATCAGCCTGGACATCAAAGACAAGCATCTATTTGTTTTCTAAGTTTCTCTACTTTCTGCAAACCTGTCTACAGTAGCCCTTTTCCTGCTGCACAGGACACTGTACACCCACGCCCATGAAATGAGTTTGCAGACTTCTGTTGCTTTCTTTCTTAGCCAAATGGTCCTTTCCTAGCAGTAATTTTGGTTACTCTATTTGTATAGCTTTATGTCTTTCAAGGGAGTACACAGTACAAAGCACATAAATTAGGGATTTTAAGGCATCCATTCCTAGACATTGATTTACGACAGGACCCCATTTCAGCTCTAGCTGGGGCATGTTTGAAAGCAGTATAAGAAGAAAGACCAACAGGGGTGGTAGGACAAGTCTCAAAGGAGAGGTCAAGCATGATATCAGGGTCACAATGCCTTTGTGAGAATGCCACTTCATCTGTCTATGAGTTCAGCTGCTCTCTGAAGAATGGCCTTCGTGACCGTGGGTGATGCTATTTAATCAAATGGCTCTTGGTGATTCAAAACAAGCAATGTGCAACCTGGATTGCATAAGCCATTCATTTTGCTTCATTCTGTTCTCATCATCCTCAAAATGAATAATGAAGCTAAATAGAACAATCCAGTCTCTTTCCTTATCTTGCAGTAAAATTATATCTCTTCTCAAAAATATTTGCTATATCTAGGCTATATCTAAGAGTCTTTATAACAGAAATATTGGTAATAAATCTCTAGGGCTTCTTAAGTAATTTGCTGTTCATTACTGTTCATTCCATATATTCTAGTATTTTCTATAAAGATGAACAGGAGGGGCTGGGAAAGTGGCTCAGCGGTAGAATGCTTGCTTCGCATGCATGAGGCTCTGGGTTTGATTCCTCAGCACCACATAAACAGAAAAGGCCAGAAGTGGCACTGTGGTTAAAGTGGTAGAGTGCTAGCCTTGAGCTGAAGAGCTCAGGGACAGGGCCCAAGCCTAGAGTTCAAGCCCCATGACCCCCAAAAAGATGAATAGGATATATTCTTCCCAACCCTAACATCATGTTGCCCTATTTTAAACACTAGTATTTATGAATAGCTCATTCTATAATTCTTAAGAAGAAATTAATAGGACATACAGATAAAATGCTTTTGGAGAACTCTCTAAAATCTGATAGTAATATAACTGCTCTTCTAAAGCTTGCTTCCTATTTGAAAATAAACAAAAATAAAAGTCCACAAATAAAATCATGCTAGGCTCCTGACAGTCTGCTATATTAAACAAGATTGAATTTTACTTAACATAATAAAACCACTCCCTTCTGTTTCATTTTGGAAGAAATCATTTTATTGGTGGGACTATTGAAAAGAATCTCCCTACTTATGCAGTAGCACACATCTGTAATCGCAGCAATCTGGAGGCAGATGAGAAGAATCAAGAAGTTTGAAGCCAGCTTGCACTACGTAGTGTGTTCAAACCCAGGCTAGGTCACACAGAAACTGTCTCAAAAAACAAAAAACAAAACAAAACAAAAGCAAGCAAGAACCAGGCACCAGTGGCTCATGCC